ATAGCAAAAACCAGAAGTTGTAGCACCAGGCGGAAGGTATTAACAGAGTCTGTAACCAAAATATGATAGGAAAAACTCTCCACAGAGGAAGGAGGGAGCAACCTGGGTTCTGTTCCTTTTTCTCCAAAGACTATAGAACACAAAATACACAGTCACTGACCCGGTCACAGATTTGCAGATAACTGCTGAAGATTTGTGCAGTCACGTGCTTCTGTTATTTTTAATTTGGACCAGTGCAATCAACATCCACGTACATGAAACTAAAAAACTCCAGTGTGTCTTCTGTGATTCAGCAAATTCTCTGGACACGACGTTCCTGCAAATGCAGCAAACCTGTCTTGGCCTCCGCTACAACAGGGCTACCGTTAGCAACTTCTCACTCCATGTTTAAGATGCTCTTTTTCAACCTGACATAACCATGGAGCAACATATCCATTTTAAATATGTAAATATCACCATATTGATGAGTTGGTTCATCCCCTGTAGTGTGTTTTCATGAAGATGTGGAAGTGTTCCCCTAAGTGGAATTTCCATGTGGAATACTGGGCTTTTAAATTGTATTTTGCCTTGGTCATCATCTTTTTTTTTCCTGGAATGGACTATTGTTGGTCAACCCAGCATCTAATCAAACAACAATTTCCCTGACTTGTCATAAATATTGATCATGTAAATAACTTGCTAGCATTTACTACATCTGTGGTGGATTTTCTTTATTCTAACAGACACTTGAAGAGCTAGAATACCATGGGCCTGGGACGTCTGAGCAAACTCGAGCAGAACTGGAGCAGAAAATAGATGAAGCCAGAGAAAGTATTCGCAAAGCTGAGGTAAGAAGGAAATTATTTTGGCATATTCAGCTTCGTACCACAGAAGGATTTGTGTTACAGCTATTTAATTTTCTTTGTGGAAATGTAAGCTTTTAGCATCAAAAATTAGGGAATGTTAAGATGTCTTTTTTTTTTTCCCCTTGATTTCATACTTCTCAAATTGCTGAATCAACTTAATGAAATACTCGAGATTAGAAGAGTAATATTAAAAAACCTCCTGATGAAGAGTGATTAAACTTGCTGCATTTTCCGCTATGGTGCAAAGGTCAAGAATCTCTATTCTTAGGGTCTTTGTCTTAAACAGAGAAAAAACAATCTCAGGTTTAATAGTTTCCTTCTGCTTGAAGGAATTAATACCAGAAAATGGTGATCATATCTCTACCTTCACGCTTTCTGGCTTCTAGAAGGAACTGCCATACGCTGATAAGCCCTCTGTTCTAGTATTCTTTGATACACATATTAATTTGTAATGTCAACGGGAAAACATTTGAAATAATCTTTGTATCTCTTTCTACTTTTACTCTGAGGTATTTTTGAAAAGGTTACAGAGCTTTGTGAAACCTGTTCTGGGTTAAGAAAGACTCATGAAAAGATAAACTTGCTTCCTACTTGACTGCCAGTGTTGGGTTGGTAAAAGTTAACTCTTTTCATGGCCAGTGATTCAAAAAACCTTTTGCAAGCAACAGGAACTAATCTATTAGTTTTAGGCTGAGTGGTTAGTTTAAGGCTTTGCTTAATTAAAACTGTAGAGCAAATGTAATTATTGCAGTTAAAGGCTTCTCATACTGCTAGATATTCAGAGTACCTGATGTAATTAGAAATGTGATTTACAGTTCAAGATGTTAGAAAATACGGGATAAAAATATTCCTCCTACTAGTGTGATAAATGTTAGCCTCTCTTTAAAACAAATCCAGAACACACTCTCTTAACAAAAAGTGTTTTAAAATGCAATAGCCTTTTATTTGGAGTAAACTATTTCAAACAGACTATACTCCAAAGTACTTCAATGTATATTTAGTTAATGATTAAATACGCAAGGACAGAGAGCATGAGAGTGAAAGACAAAAGCAGCAGCAGAAAGAAAGAAAAATCAGGATAAGAAGTTGCAGAGGAGAAGGTTCTCGCACAAAAATATTATAGAAGGTACAAATGAAATCAGTCTGGAACTTGAGGGTTTGCAAGTCTTAAGAATGTACAATTAACAGAACCCAATAAATCAGTGGAAAGGGAGCAAAGAGATAACATGTTTCCTTGGAGGAGATGGTGGAGAGAAAACTTGACAGGAGTATTTTTTATTTGTTAAATTCTGGAAAATTAGAACTTTGAAAGTAAGTGCCGCAATAGTAATGGATCTCCGCAGTAGAAATTCAGCCATGGTCCTGTATGAGTGGTGCAGGGATAACGTGCCAGTTATTCTCTATGCAGATGAAGCAAAGAAGAAATTTAAGAGCACACAAGGACTTTTGCCCAGCAGAAGACTGACTTTTCTGAGAGAATTAGCTAAAAGAGCTTGAGACAAAATTGCAAGTTTCCTTGGCCACAGCCACAGAATATAACTGAAGATAGAAAGTGCCAAGAAGTGGAAGGTTTATATTAAAAAGAAAAAGCAATGTGAGATCAGAAATAAACCCTGTAGCGTGCTGTAGAAGGCAGAAGTCTTTTGCAAAAGCCGAGGGCTGGATGGAGCTCCGTTGGGAAACATACTGGGCAAGAAGCTCACGGCCAGGAAGGTGGTTCGTAAAAGCACTGAAGGAGGAAAAAAAAAATAGCCTGCGATTCACAGATATAGTGAGGAGCAAATGCAGCGTCATATTTACGCACCCTTACAAACACCAAAGAGTACTCCAAAGAGTTCCAGAGCGTGAATCTTTTTCTCCAAGAGATGTGTTTCACAGTGTTTGATAGAAAGCATTCAATAGTGACAAATAATGTATTTCTGTGGTTTTCCAGTGCTAGCCGGTGTGTCGTAGTTAAAATGGTGTCCCTTACCTTTCTAATTTGTGACATGTGTTCTGTTTTACAACAGAAAATCATGGAAGCGCCAAGTACTTGAGTCTAGAAAGACTCAGTGGCTGGGTGATTTTCACTTATTTTCTTCCTTTTCTTAGACAAGAGCTTTTTGCACACATACGATCCATAAAGAATAAACTACATAAGCTTTGAGTAAAAATGTTTTCTTTCGTCATGTAATTATAATTCTTTTCAATATGTGAAAACCAAACATTTGCCACATTCCTGCATATTTAAGTGCAACTGATTAAGTTGGAATTACTGATGGTCAGGTAGGGGAATGGTATTTGTGCAAAAAGTTACGGTCACTTATTTAGGTAGTAGGGGAGCCATGGAACGGCCCGTTCCCTGTCCTGCTCCACTGCGTTTGGGTCAAGGAGCTGCAGCGGATAAATAAAGCCAAGCAGCGAGACACCTGATGTAGCTCAGTGCTTTGAAGAGGTCCTCCTTCTCAGGATAGCACATGGGAAAAGAAGGATGTCTGGAGAGTTGGCAGGTGTCAACCGTCAATTATTGGAATTGACCGCCCTCATAGGACGAGGGATAGTGGTTTTAAACTGAAAGAGGGGAGATGGAGATGAGATGTGAGGCAGAAATCCTTCCCTGTGAGGGTGCTGAGGCCCTGGCACAGGTTGCCCCGAGAAGCTGTGGCTGCCCCTGGCTCCCTGGCAGTGTTGAAGGCCAGGTTGGATGGGGCTTTGGGCAAGCTGGGCTAGTGGAGGGTGTCCCTGCCCATGGCAGGGGGTTGGACCTAGATGGGCTTTGAGGTCCCTTCCAACCCAAACCAGTCTGGGATTCTATGATTCCTGACTTAGGAAGGAGAAAGACTTTTCAGCATCTCCATGTTAGTCAGAAAAAGAGGACTTGGAAAGTGGAAAAAGAAAGATTACATAGGCTTTGTTTCTTTGTTGTGAAAGTCAGTTTGATGTGTGGAATTTATAAAGTAAAACTGGAAAAAAAAAGTCCCCAAAACATGCAAAGAACGTTTATTGGATTTACATTTGCGGCTGTTACCAAGGGTCTTCTACAGTTGCCTGACACCATCTGTGGTTGCAGCCAGTGTGAACAGCCCAGATTTGCCCTTTAACACTGGTTAGTTCAGGAACGCCTTGTCACATTAAATCTTCAATTAAACCAGCAAACGTTGTGGACACTGCTGTGATTGTAAGTGGAAGGGTAATACGTTCTGGTGCAGCGTCTGAAAGTGTCTGATGATAACGTGTAGATTTGATTTTTAAAAACAAAACAAACCTCTTTTTTTGGGAAGGTATCAATGCAATTTTGCTTGCGACTGCAACGAGTATTGGTTGATGTACTGTTGTTTCTTGCCACGATGGCCAAGTCTCAGACGTGGAAATCTCCCTGTTTGTTCTAACGGAGTAAAGCAGCTAGAGGATGGCACATCTAGACGATGACAGGGGTTGCGAGGTATGAATTGTGTAACCTTGAGATCATTTCCTCAAATCAGTGGTTGTATCAACCTGCGGTACCGACAGAGCAGCATGTGTAGGACTTAATGCTTCTGAACGATCACGGGTGCGTACTGCTGGCGCTTTGAAGACACGGACATTTTGCTGGATGTTACTTGTTGGTCACGTGCGTGTGTCCGTGGTGTGTTAGCTGGTGTGTACCGTACTTCCTCATTCCAAGACGTTCTCCCTTCTTCTTTTTGGTTTCTTGTTTATCTCTTGCAACGCATTTTATTTTTATTTCCTTTCTGGAGTAACGTGCCTGTTGTTCTTTCCTGTTTTGACTTCTTTACCTACTCTTTGGTGCTTTTGCCTTTGCAAATCACCCTCTTCCTCTTCTTTCTTCATCATTTCTGAAGGGGAAGATAACTTCACAAGCATGGTGGGGTGAAATTTTGCCTTTCTTCTGGCAAAGCTATATTGGTCATCGCCGAACATTTCCACCTGCATGTTTCTCCCTGGGGAATTTCACAGTCTTGACACATTGCTGCAGTGCCAGCCTGGACCAGAAGACAAACCAGTCTTTCCTTGTCATCTAATACAACATGAGCTGAGTCAGAACCTTTTAGAGATGATTTATATTGGTAATGTGATTTCTCCAGGGTGTATTGTGCATAGATGTATTTATCTCATCCCCCTCTTCCTGAGAGACCCTGAATCCTTTGAAATCTGACAGCTGAGAGGAACTGTAAGTACGTGTAACGTACGTGTTTTCTGACAAGCACGAGTGTGGAAGCTGGCACAATTTGAAGGTACAGCAAAGAAACGTAGTAAAAGTGTGCGTCCAACCAAGACATACTGAGGAAATCTGTGTTTTTGTCTTCTGCAAGATATAGTGCCTGAACAGAAAACCTTAGATTGGCACATTCACAGCTCAGTGGGTTATTTTTGATCTTTTTCTCCCTGGGATATGAAGATATTTTTCCTTGTGATGTTTCAGGGAGCAGACTCCTTGATTAAAGTTTGGGAAAAATATGGCTTACACCAGAGTGCTCCTCTACCATTGAAACATGATGGATGACACAATGACTGTAATTGATAACCAGAACCCATATTTTCTTCTTAAAAAAGGAAAGTTGCTGTTTTGTTAAGGGGGTTTTTGTTTGGTTTGCTCGCTTGTTTCTAAAGAAAATGTTAGAAAATGTCTGATAATACCTCTGGCACTGGCAGAGCACTAAAATTTACTGTGGTTAATGCTACACTGGAGAGTTTCGATCCAGAGGAGCCCCATCCTTGTTAAAACAGCGTTTAACGACTGCTGCACAAGGGCTGGATTTTGATAAAGACAAGCACTGGGAGCAGAGAGTGCTCATTTAAATTGAAGGTGGCACAATTCAAGCATCGTCTGTAAAGGAGGGCAACACCTTTGAAATTCAGTAATTTGAGAAAATAAATTATTCTTGTCACTTCTTTGCACTTACTCGACCTGTTTTTTCAGCTTTCATTTTTGTAACAACAGTAAGGAAGGTTGCTGGGCGTTTTACAGCTGTTAATTCAGCCAATTGGGTAGATCTGATTTG